TTGGTTATGAATTCATATATGAACATAGGAAAGTAATGTCCAACTCATTTCTACTATCTTTCCTATTTCCACCTCCCTTCCTATTCCTTCATTCCCCTTTGTCTAATCCAATGAATGTTTAGTCTTCTCTCCACTTATTGTGTGCTAGCATCCACATATCAGAGAGAACATTAGGCCTTTGATTTTTTGTGATTGGCTTATTTCACTTCGTATGATAGTCTCCAGTTCCATCCATTTACTGGCAAATGTAAGGCCTTTCTTAACAATCACATTTCTACTATTTAGACAGATCAAATGGTACATCAAGTTAATTTATTTTCTTTTTCCAACTTGAGGACAATTATCATTTACCTTTCTTTGCTGTGTATTATTTATCATACATACATTTTCCATCTTCCAAGATTGCAAGTGAAAGGACTCTTGCAGAGTCCACATACAGTCCAAAGACCATGCCACACACCAGAATCCCATGCAAGAGATTTATTGTAGGTAGCAGGAGGCATACTGACAAGGCTGTGCCTCCCAGGAGAGCAGCAGCCTGTTGGCTCTCACAGAGCAGCTTTATAGCCCACAAGAGGAATCTCATAAGCTCCTTGGGAGTTTAAACTGTGGTGGGGTTGATTGTAAGCTGCTTAGGAGTTTAAGCTGGGGTGAGGTTGATCAGTTTCTTTTAGCAGGCACATGTTCTTATGGGAAGTTAAGTAGCGTTGCCTCAAATCAAAACTTTGGAAACTCTAGATAAAATGGTTCCCTACCTAAAATGGTGAATCTGATGCCAATATTGATCTGATGTCAGTATTGTTCTGATGACAATAGCAAGTTCACCTTTTATCTTCTGTTATCTTTTCTCACATTTACTTCTGGGTTTTTTCCCTTTTAATAGTGTAGTCATTTTGTTATGGTTTCTGGAAGGAATAGACATAAATATGTCGTCACCCAAGAAGATCTTAGGTGCAGATAAAGGAGTAAGAAAATAAAAAACATGGGGATTTCTGTTTTCTACTTTTATATACTACATTGGTATGTAATGCCAGTAAGTTACATTTGCCACTACTTATGTGTGTAATTGTTTAATCCTTGTCGCATGTGTACTTGTGAGGTTTAATGTTTTTGTATACTATTGTATACAGTTGTATTTCTTTTATTAATTGCCCTTCATGATCATTATTAATCTCTTTTTACATATTAAAATTTTCAACTGGTCTCATATGGTGAAAATATGTAAGCATTTCTTTCCATTACAACTTTTTAAACAAATTATTCTTCTATTTTTAGATAACTATTGTTTTCATTTTCCTCTATTTTTATTTTCTTCTTCATTGGGAGAATCAATTTCTAGAATAAAGAGAATAAAGACAAACCAGTATAATCTGATGTAATGCTCCGATATAATTAGCTTTATATAAAAGCATGAGTTCCATTATGAGAGAAGGTGAAGCCTGGTATTATTTATCAATTGTCAGTCTACAGCCTGAGATCCTGGGTCTGCTTACCAAATATCATGCTTTAATTTTTCTCTTAAGGAATGAGCTGTAATTCTTCTATAAGGAAGAATGCACTGATAGGAGTACAGCCAGTACCAAGTATATTTTCTAACCTCAACGGAGTTTGACAAGATAGTAGAAAAACCCAACAAAAAGGGAAAAGAAGTCAAGGTTGTTGACTTTAGAAGCACCTTAAATTTCCTCTGTTGTAAGGGGACAGCAGCTTAGAAGGAAAACTATAGTAAATATAAGAGAAATAACAGAAGCTATCATGATGGGAGTCTAACTGTATTATTCCTTTTTTTTAAAAAGAGCATTAAAATTATAGTATTTGGGTTCATTTTGCCAAAATCATACATGAAGGAATTTGATTTCAGGCCCCACTTTTCCTCCTCTCCTCCCTTCTTCTATTCTCCCTCCTGTACTAAACTTCCTTTCTTCTACATATACATAAATGTGAAATTCCCTTTGCACCCTTTATATATGAATATAACATGATTTTGTTAAATTTATTCCATATTCTCTTTTTTCTTTCTTCCTCCCTCACTCTCTTATTCTCCTTCTTGTACTCCACTGATCTTTCCTGTATCATTATGATATACAATCTTCTTGGCCAACTGCCACCTTTCTTTTGCTTTGCTCTTGCTTCCACATATGAGAGAAAACATTTGACCTTTGATTTCTGAGTCTGGCTTATTTCACTTAGCATGATTTTCTCCATGTCCATCCATTTACCAGCAAATGCCATTATTTAATTGTTCTCTATGGTAGAGTAAAACTCAATTTTGTATATATGCCACATTCTCTTAATCTGTTCATCTCTTGTTAGGCACTTCAGTTGATTCCATAATTTGGCTATTGTGAACTGTGCTGCTATAAACATTGAAATGGTTGTATTTGTATATTGTGATGATTTTAGATCTTTTGGATAAATACCGAGGAGCAGGGTAGCTGAATCGCAATGGTGGTTCCATTCCTAGTTTTTTGAGGATTTCCACACTGCTTTCTAGGGTAATTGTACTAATTTGCATACCCTTCAAGAATGTAAGAATGTACCTTTTTCCCTACATCCTTGTCAGCATTGATTACTGTTTGTGTTCTTGATAATTTCATTCTGACTGAAGTGGTATGAAATCTTAGTGTAATTTTCATTTGCATTCCCCTAATTGCTAGAGGTGCTGAACATTTTTTATCATATTTTTGTTGGCCATTTGTGTTTCTTCTTTTTGAGAGTGTGTTTTTAGTTCTTTTGCCCATTTATCGATTGGCCCATTTGTTGGGGGAGCATTGAGGTTTTTTTTTCTTGAGTTCTTTATATATTCTGGATATGAAAAGTTCTTTATATATTTTGGGGAAAAAATCCCCAGTCAGCGGAATAGCTGGCAAAGATTTTCTCTCATTTTGTAGGCTCTTTCTTCACTCTTAATCATTTTCTTTACTGTGCAGAAGCTTTTTAATTTGATGGTATTCTATTTACTGAGTCTTAGTTTTTATTTCATGAGCTTTAGAGTTCTTGTTGAGGAATTGGTGCCTGCACTTATATGATGGATTGTTTACCCCTATATTTTTTTCTAGCAGTTGCTAGGTTTCTGGTCTCATTTCTAAGTCTTTGGTTGATATTGATTTGACTTTTGTGCAGGGAGAAAGATAGGGCTATAAATTCATTCTTCTACATATGGACATCTAGGTTTCCTAGCACCATTTATTTAAAGGGCTGTCTTTTCTCCAACATGTATTTTTGGTACCTTTGTCAGTATTAGATGGCTTTAAACATTTGAGTTTGTTTCTGTGTATTCTATTCCATTGGTCTTCGTATCTATTTTTATGCCAATACCATGCTGTTTTTGCTACTTTAGCTGTATATTATAATTTAAGATCAGGTTTTTTGATACCTCCTGAATCACTTTCCTTGTTTAGAATTGGGTCTCTCTCTTTTTCAAATGAGATTCATTCTTCCAAATGAATTTTAGGGCTGTTTTTTTATAATATTATTAACCTCTATTCAAATCAATTTTTAAAAATGAATAAAATTTACATTTTATTAGAAAAATGCAAACTACCCTAGAAGAAATAAAAACTATCTGAATAAGTTAAGAATGAAAATCTCCTCCACAAAACTCTAATATCATATTTTTAATGGTAGTTCTTATTCCCCCATTTAAAAAATTGTCCCAATCAAGAATGTTTTCATTACCCCAGAAAGTTTCTTTGTGCCCAGTACAGGCAGTAGGCTGGATGAGCCAAGGGCCATAATTTGCCAAGCTGTGATGTCTTCAGTGATCAAAAGCGTACTACAGGGCTGGAGATGTGGCTCAGTGGTAGCGCGCTGGCCTGGCATGCGTGCGGCCCGGGTTCGATCCTGAGCACCACATACAAACAAAGATGTTGTGTCCGCCGATAACTAAAAAATAAAATGAAAAAAAAAATGCGTCCTACAGTTATATCCACATTATATGTGGGAAATCTCAGGGATAAAAACCTGTAGTGTTATCATTCAGATTCAAATGACTTTATTCTTCTATTAACCCCATGGCAATAGAATTTTTTAAAAAAGCAGATAAACTGTTTTTAGAAGATTCTCTTCTTATTCTCTTAAAATAGGAAACATTTGGAGGAACTAATCTCTTTCTTATTCAGTTACAATTTTTAGAATGTGATAAGAAACATTATTGCTGGATTCCTGAGAATCTTCTTTACAAATCATTTTGTATGTGATTGTTTTCCCAAAGTTTGCATTCAAATGCAAAAAAATAGAAAACTGGTATGATATAATTTATTATTTAGATTTTGATGTCTTATAAGCCATTAACATCCACATTATTTAAGTATATTTAAATAATATAGGTAATCTATTATATATTTATTCAGTTCTTTTGCAAAATCAGTTTTATGAAGCAATTCCTTTGTGACCTACAGTACTTAAGAATTTGTCTATCTGTAGCTTTGCTCAGGGTCTAGGAAGTATTTTTTYCCTGTAAAATATCATAGGCTAGATGATAGTATTTTTTGTGGCTATTAGATAATTTTGACATTCTGTATAAAACAGTAATAGGCCTACCATAGCCACATTGGAATCTGTGTAAAATGTAAAGAAAACATAATAAGATTACCAGAGTACTTTTTTATCTAGGAAAACACTGAAATTGTATGTATTTAACACATTTTTAAGCTGGGCATGGTGGTGCAATACCTGTAATCCTAGTGACTCAGGAGGCCAGCCTCAGTAACTTAGTGAAACCCTGTCTCAAAAAATAAAAAGTACTATGGGTGTAGCTTCATGGTAAAGTGCTCCTTGGTTTAATCCCGAGTAAATCACCCCCCCTCAAAAAAAAAAAAAAAAGAAAAAAAGTTTCAATATGAATTATGAATCAGATCCTAAAGTTGAACTCATAAGTGATTGAATAGACTTTCTTAGAGTATTACTTTAAAAAGAAGTTGATATTTTTATCTTAACTAACCAACTGATTATTTTTAATTTTCTCAACTAAAAATTAAATGTCTGTATTTTTTTTCCAGAGACATCAAACCTGACAATATATTGATGGATATGAATGGACATATTCGGTTAGCAGATTTTGGTTCTTGTCTGAAGCTGATGGAAGATGGAACGGTAAATAAAGAAATCCTAAATTACTCTATCCACAAACATTTTCTTTACCTGTCTATCTAGCTATCCATTTGTCTGTCTGTGTTCCATCTCCCTCCACAGTGGTGCTTGGACATGCTTGTTCATTAAAGGGCTTGTCTGTAAAGTCAGAAGCCATTTTACCTGCTCATATTCGTAATCTTGAATTGATATTTTATGAGTGCTTGTTTGTTCATTAGCTGGTAATTATGTATTATTGTACTTGAGATATTTCTACATTTTCAGAAGGTAAGGAAAAAGAAGACTCCTGTAGAAAAAGGAAATGTTACTTTATCCCCACTCTTTAAAATTTATTTTTTCTTTCCTAATTATGTATTTATTCTGAGGGACAGTGCTCAACAAATGAATTCATTTTTTTTTCTTCCAGAAAATCTCCTTGGTTGTATGTTCCCATGCTAATATATTAATTAATTAATATAAACTTTAATTGGTAGAAACTTTTTTTGAGAAACTTTTGTTGTTGTTGTTGTTATTTATTTATTTATTTTTTAATTGTTGGTTGTTCAAAACATTACATAGTTCTTGATATATCATATTTCACACTTTGATTCAAGTGGGTTATGAACTCCCATTTTTACTCCGTATACAGGTTGCAGAATCACATCAGTTACACTTCCATTGATTTACATATTGCCATACTA